ATCACTGTTTCAAAACCTATATCATGATGCAACCTTCTTCCCTCCCATCGTCAAGCAGATGGCCACATGTAACCCAGCACATCCCGTTAGGGCTTACTTTCATTGCTGAGAACATCCAAGTTTAGCCTGCTGGTGCTGTATGGTGAGTTGAGACTGAGTGTAAGGCAGGCTTGATGGGCCCCTCTGCTTGCAGGCACAACATCCCTCTGATGGGCTTCCCCAGTCCCGATACTCTCAGAAGGAATATGGACACAACTGCCAGCAGCACATGGAGAGAAAGCGGCAGAAGGGGCAACAACACAGACCCTCAGACTCTGTTACCATGCAGATGGGGAGCACAGTGGGGAGCACTGGCATGCAATCCAAAATGAAAATGTCACTGGATTTACATCAAGGAGCAACCGGCCTGTCAGCCCTGGAGCCTCAGATCCACCGCTTGAGCCAAACCCCAGGTCCACAGGAACCATCCGAGGTTGCTTCGCTGATGGCCCCAGGCTCAGAAGCAGGACTTGGAGACTACTAGGGAGGCCTCTGGATCCACACACTCTCATTTGCCAACATGTCAGTTATAAACCTAACAAAGGGCAAGTAAAGATGAGTTTGCAGTTCCGTTTGTTAGATGTGGACAAGGGAGAGGCGATCGCAGCCCTTAGCTCGCCACAGATGTTCCCTGTGTCCCTGACCTTTCTGGTTGTCCCAAGCTGGCATTGCAGTGCCTCTCTCTGTGGTAAAGCAATTATCCTGCTTATCTTCTGCCCTGCAGAATTGTGGTTATCTGAAAAAGCTAGTCTACGTTGTATTTTTTTAAATTTTCTTTTTAAGTCTGTGTTAAAGATGGCTTTTGGAAGCATTCTGAGGAGAATGGCAGGTACCACAATGAACAGATCACACTGATTTTCCACCATTTCCCTTTTGCCCTGGGCAGTGAGTCAGGCCTGCTCTCGGACAGTTTGTGGAAGAAGGCAAGCCTGGAAAGAAAGAGGTGGCTATTTCTGCAATGAAGTCTTCTTTCTCCAATAAGAGACCAAAGTCCAGTGCTCCCTGCAACCAAGTTGCTTGCCCAGAGGCGCCTCTTTTGCTGCCATGTCCAGAACTTGCTTCAGCCAAGCCCTTCAATTCCTCTCCCACTATTCCACACAGGATCTCATGTCTAGGCAAAAGCCTCTGCAACTGGCTTTGCTCAGGCTCAGGCTATACTTGCAGCTGAAGCTCTCACCAGCTGTGTTGCTCTGGACAGCACAGAGGGATGCCATTACCACGGGATGTCAGGCAAGAAGTGAGGGTCAGCCTACCCAGGTTAGATGGAGAGAGCAAGGCCCTGTCCTGCTGAGGGCGAAGGAAGTGCAGAGCCAGAAGTAACTGCTGCTGCTGGTGCCCATTCCCTGCTGCAAACATCCAGCCAGATGAGCACAGCAGCCCTGAGCATCCTGAAACAGCGAGTGCTTCCCTCACACATGCACCAGGGTCACGCACCGCTGCCTCAGCAGCACTCCTCACCGAGCTGCTGGTCCCAAGCAGACCTCACGTGGTGTTTGCTGCCCCTGCTTTGAATGCCCCTGTTATAGTAGATTGTTATCTTTGTCACTGGCCAGTGACAGACATGCACCTGGGGACTGAGAATTGGGGTAAGCCCAGAAATATTCCCCACTCAAATAAAAAAAAATCCTGCTCTCATTACAGAGAAAAAGGTGCTATTAAAAGAATGAGGGACTGTTAAGAGTTTGGCGCTGGTGCAGAATGAACATGTTTTAGAGACCCAGAAGGTCCCGTGGAAAGGCACCTTTGAACCTTGGGGGGGAAAAAGAAGATGAATAGGAGAGGTGAAAAATGAGAATTCTAGATGTTCCTTTACAGTCCCGTTTTGAGGACAGCTGTAGGATGTAGAACTCTGCTCTGACCCAGCCATGTTTAAGAAGTGTACCATGCATTTTTAGTGCTCAGCACCTGGCCTGAAGGCCTCACGTAGTTCTGAGGAAATATCCCACAGGGTCTAAACCAGTATGTAGCTCCAGTGCTGCAGTGCTGCCCTTCACAGCCCCTCTGAACAGCAGCCCTTAATCCTGGGCTCATCTAGAAAGGTACATTTTTTTAGTCAGAAAGAATTACCCTTTTTTTTTCCAGATGAATATAAAGGAAAATTCTGAGTCTAAGCAAATGCTAACCACAGTGTCCAACACATGGCAGGGGCATGCCAGCAAGCTGCTCCAAGGTGGTACTTTCCAGAAGGCATATCCTGGCCACTGGTCCAACGCAGCGTAAATTTTCATTAAAAAATTTTCATTAAAAAAAATACAACAAACCCCCCAGAATGGTGCAACATAGTAAGTCTTTAACTCTTTGCATGGGGCTCAGCACTAGAAGGCCCTTATTGCAATGGGGGAGCAATCGTGCCCACCTCCCCATGCCATGGGCTCAGTCAGGGCAATGCTTCTCTGCAACATCTTGGAGCTGGAGGTGCTCCCTGATGGAGAACACTCTCCTTGTACACTTGTGGGCATCCCATAGGACTTACACAAGGAGATCCCTTGGGGATCAATGCATGCATTGGTCCCAAAGCCTGAAGACTGCTGCTCTCCCCACCCGTGGTTTGCAGGCTCCTGCTGCTGGTTCCTGCTGCTGGCTCCTCGTCCACTGTCTGCCTGTGAGGAGCCCTCAACATTTTTCTGTGATATATCTCAGACATCACTTAACTGCACTGTGCACCTTGGTTTCATTTTTTAGGAAGCTGAAAGAGTTCAGGAAACAGGAAGCAACAATGAGATCCAAACATCCCAGTGTCACAGGCATTTTTTTGCTGACATAGAGGTGTTCTCCCATCTTCCTGTGCTTTTGAGGAACCCTGCAACTTTCCTCTCTGTTCCTCTGCCCTTCAGGCTGGAGTAGAAGCCATTCCTCAAAGACTGCAAGTCAAAAGTGGGAAGGATTTTCCCTCTCACAGGCCCAAACCTTAGGAGAGAAAAACCCCACTTTGCTTTTAAGCATTGCACCAACCTAAATAAATTCAGAGCTGTCCTAGAGAAAACAAAATGAAGCAGAGAAGCAGAAAAGGTCACCAGGCACTGCTGGCAGTGTTGCCACACTGTCAGCTTCTTTTCCCACTTCCTTTTCTGTTACTATTTTCTTTACCAGATGCTTCTCAAACTCCACATTCGTAGCAGGCTGCAGAGGCTGCCCACATGAATGGGCATGGCATACCAAACTGCTCCTGCACAGCACTGTGCTCTCAGCTACCTGAATTCCCCCAGGACCCCACTCCAGCCCTCCGCTCTCACTTGCCCCCAAATTCCCCAGGGACTCTTCTCTGACCCAGCGCTACATTTGTGATTGCCCTGAAATCCCCCAGGGCTTCAGCTCATAAAATACCATGGCTTTCTCTCATAGGCATCCAGGGGGAATTTTTTTTTCCCTTCATGTAAGAGGTGCTGCTGCCTTCAGAGGTGAACCAGGGCTCTGGAGATCTGGCACACAGAATATCAAGTGACTGCCGGTTGGTAAAAAAATTTGTCTTCCACAAAGTGCAAGCCCAGCCGTGCTCTGTCCTGTTTCTTACTCCTGATTTGTGCTCCTGTCTCTTCCTCATCCACTGACTAGATTCCCTCAGCCACCTAGCCACCATCATCATTAAAAACAAAGGATAAAGCAAGGCAGTGGGATCACCAGGCACCTCAGGACACTACATAAAGCAGCACCATGGGACACAGCAAAGACCAGACCTGGTTTGGGAGAGGTTGGGATCACCAGGGAGCTGAGCTGGGCCACGCTGGGGCTGTGGGGAGAGCACTGGCCCCAAACACCAAAGGAGGTTGTCTCACTGAAGGAGATGGTCTAGAGAAGAGGAGGCTTAAGAGAGACCTCATCGCTCTCTATAACTACCTGAAAGGCTCTCTACAACTATCTGAAAGGAGGTTGTAGTGAGGTGGGGGCTGGTCTCTTCTACCATGCCTACAGTGAGAGGACTAGAGGAAATGGCCTTAAGCTGAGACAGGGGAGATGTAGATTAGATATCAGAAAAAAATTTTTTGACTGTTCAGGTGGTCAGGCGTTGGAATAGGTTGCCCAGGGAGGTGGTGGGAGTCACCATCCCTGGAGGTGTTCAAGAAATGTCTGTTTCTGGAACTGGGTGATGTGGTTTAGTGGGTTAGGGTGGTGATGCTGGCTGGCTGGTTGGACTGGATGATCTTGAGGGTCTCTTCCAACCTCGATGATCCTATGAGGGGGCAGGCACACGAGCAAAGGTAAAGGCTGGAGAAAGGAGTGGAAACACAAACCAAGGCCAGGGAAGAAAGGTCTGTCCCCAGAGCAGACACCGAGAGGGGCCCTGCTCCCACCACCCCGCAGGGGCTCAGCCAGCAGGAGGGAGGGAAGGAGGGAGCCGCTCACGCAACCCGCGAGCAGGGGAAACGCTCAGAGCGCCTTTCATTTTTACTTCATTTTATATTTTTTTTTTTTAAATTAAACAGCCCGTTTCCGAGCGGTGACTTCACCTCCCACGTGCCGGGAGCCCCGGCTCCTGAGGGCGCCCAGGACCGTCCCGAAAATGAAAGCGGACACAACCCGCGCCGGGCCGACCCTCCGCCCGCGCCGTGACGGGCCGGCCGCGGGCGGGGGGGTTGTCAGGGCCGGCGCCGGCGGGGCGGACCGGGGGGCGCGTCCCGGGCCGAGCGGGGCTGCCGAGGCCGCGCCGTGCCCCATGTCGCCGGGCCGCCGGTGGCTGTCGGGCCGGCACAGCCTCCGCCGGTACCTGCTGGCCGCGCTGGCGGTGCTCGCCGGCCTGGGGGCGCTCGCAGGGCTCGTCGCGTAAGTACCCGCCGGGGCCGGGCAGGGGCCGCGGCTCCCCGGCTCGGCCGGCCCCGCCGTCCTGCCCCGCCTGCGCCTGTCCCGAGGGAAGGCGAGGAGCAAACGCCGAGCTGGGGAGCGGGTGGGAGCTCTGCCTGTGCCAGCAGCCGGCTGTTGCAGGCCCGAGGAGCGGGGCCGGGCGTTACCGCCATGGCCCGGGCCTGCCAAAGCCGAGGAGCTCAGCATCGCCTTACCCCGTACTTACCCCGTACCTCCCTTGCTTTTGTACCCTGGGGGTCAGCCTTGCCTTACTTCCATACTTACCCCATAAAACCCTTGGTTTTGTAGCCCTGAGGGTCCGTCCCTCCTTACTTCCACACTTACCCCATAAATCCCTTGATTTTGAACCCCTGAGGGTCAGTCTCACCCCATACTTACCCCTTAGATCCCTTGGTTTTGTAGCCCTGAGGGTCAGCCTCTCCTTACTTCCATACTTACCCCATAAATCCCTTGATTTTGAACCCCTGAGGGTCAGTCTCACCCCATACTTACCCCTTAGATCCCTTGCTTTTGTACCCCTGAGGGTCAGCCTCTCCTTACTTCCATACTTACCCCATAAAACCCTTGGTTTTGTAGCCCTGAGGGTCAGCCTCTCCTTACTTCCATACTTACCCCATACCCCTTGCTTTTATACCCCCGAGGGTCAGTCTCGCCCCATACTTACCCACACATCCCTTGCTTTTGTAGCCCTGAGGGTCAGCCTTGCCTTACTTCCATGCTTACCCCCCACCCCTTACTTTTGTCCTGAGGGTCAGCCTTGCCTTACCCCAGAGTACAAAAGTCGCTGGGTGCAGTTCTGAGCTGGCTGCCCTTAAAAGGGTGGGGAACATGGTTGTGGTCACATAAGCTGCACACGCTTCTGCAGTCCTGCCCTTGGATCTCGACCTTTCAGCGAGGTACGACACGTGGCGTTGTCTTGGGCTGCTGCCACCGTCCCAGCAGGACATGTCTGGCTGCCCCTGGCCCAGGGCTGGGCTGTCTGGGAGCTGCCACGCACTTACAACAGTGGGTGCACAGGGAAGCATGTGCTGTGAAGAAAGAGATCCTCCGAGTGAGACGTAGGTGCTAGGCAGGGTATCCAGCCTGCTGGAGCTTAGCAGTACAGGCCTGTACTGAACTGGGAAAGACTCTATTTTCAATGTCTCTCTCTCTCTTTTTTTTTTTTTTTTCCCTCCCATAGGGTTTTCTACTTTGAATCAGTCCGGGGGCAAAAAACGTCTCTTAAGAAGCTGGAAAACTATGTGGCAGCGATGGTGCTCAGCGCAGTTGCTGACACGCTGGGCTATAACAATGGGAAGTGGGAGTTCCAGCAGAGTGGCCCAGCCATCCACAGGGAGCTGGCAGAGCTGGGGGGGGTTGGCAACTTGAGCATCGAAGGTTGGAGAGTCAGCGATGACACGGTGATGCACTTGGCCACGGCCGAAGCCCTCCTAGCTGCTGGACGTTACCCCAGGCTACAGGATCTCTACTCTCTGCTTGCAAAGAACTACAAGGAGTGCATGAATGACATGGAGGGCAGAGCTCCAGGTAACCCCTCCATCACACTGTCTGGGCAGGGCTGTGCTGTCGCTAGTGTCTCTCCTGCAGCTTGGAGCTGAGGCTGGCCCTGGCCCTGGCCCTGCTTTTGGCTGTTCACCTAAAGGCAAAAGTGTTCCATGCTCAGTATCTGTTTCAGGAGGAGCTAAAGAGGACAGCATAAGGCAAGCTGGAGTGGTTTGGGCTTCTCCTGAAAAAGATACTGTGAAAAAGTACTGTTTTGCCCATGTTTACAGAACATTCTTACAGGTGTGTTTGAGGCCTAGCCTTGAACGCAAGGGAAGGATGATGGCTTTTGCACTGAGGATGCCTACACTCAGTGGATAAAAAAATGCAAATCCAACCACGTGTAATGCACAGCCTGAGATGCTGTGTTAATGCAACACATTTAAACAGAGAATTAATACAGAACTTCTCCTAAAAAATGCAAAAATTCCATGCAAAGTATAATTAAAGTCACAAAGATCTTTGCTTGGAGTAATTATGTTTATTAAACCCAAAGTCTGCTTGTGGCTTGCTTGGCACATCTACTTTCTGCGACAGGATAGTCAGGCCACAGTCTTCTTCCCTGAACCCTTTATTTCCAGCATCTCTCTTTTCTCTGCCTAGACACAGTGGTGCTGGGTCTGTGTCACAGGCAGTGGGCCTGGCATTATTCAGGAAGGGCACCTTCACAGGCTGCAGTAGTCAAGCCATGTACAACATATCCCTGTAGTTCCTAGTTCAGCCAGACCTGCTGACCCAACTCTTCCCCGAGGATCCTGTCTGTCTCTGTGCTCATGGCCCAGCCTGTTCTGGATGCTTGAATTAAATTGGAGTGCTGAGGCTGGACCTCTAATTTGACTAGTGCAGGAAGTGTGAAGTATCCTGGAAACACTCAAATTCAGCAATCCTAGGCAAAGTTTATACATTGGAATTGTATGTATGCCTGGACCTGCTTATTTGGAGTGGTCAGAATACATGAAGAATGTTCTTGCTTGACATTAAACATGGGAAAGGCCAAATCCTGCATTGCCACTGAGCATTTCCAAAATAAACCAGGTTGGAGACTTGAGCAGGAATTTATTCTGCTTACCTTTCCACAGTGACCTCCTACCCATGGGTAAAGAATTAAATTATCAGTCTTCTTTAACACAGGTAGTTCCAGTTGTTGGCCTAATTAATAAAATATTTAGGAAGGAGTAATGATGCTTGTCAGGATAGCAGGAGTTGGCAGGTTAAAATTCCAAGAGATTCACTGCTGTTTTGGCAAAGGAGCATCATTTAGTTTCCCCAGCTGATGGGGTCTGCCAAGGTGGACTAACCACGGCAGGGAGCGAGACAGCACGTGGAAGGTATTTTCACCTCCACCATCTAAGCTTGGTGACTAAACCCTGAAATGAAAAGAAAAAGGACCTAAAGTTTAAATGTTAGTAATTAGTAGCTAAGGATAATAACACACCTGCTGCGGTCCTTCTGGGAGTAACTGAACAGCAATATGCCCAAAAGCAGCTCCCATTTGGAAGTGAAGAATTTGAAAGCAAATTTGCTATGGACGCGAAGTGGAGTGACAAGGAAAGGTCAGGTTATCTAGCTAAAGAAAGAAATGCGCATTCTTTAGTGGGTCCAAGGACACTTGAACACCGTAAAAGTTTGGGGGAAGTGGGGAAAGAAATGTGGAAAAAAATGGAAGTCTGTTGGGAATGTTTTTGCAGCAGCCTTCCGGATTGTTCCTGATGCAGCCACAGGAAAGGCACTCAGTTCTGAGAGCTTAAATCCTGACCCTTAGCAGTTTAATGCCCACTGATGTGCTATCAAAGGGAATACCTAATCCACATCCTCAAAAGCTGTCTGCAGTCTGGAGTCTCCATGCCGTATTGATAGATCCTGATGATAGAGGTTGCACGCCAATAACTTCTTTTGGCAGCTCAGAATAAATGGATTTTAACTGAGAACATAAACCATGGTGGTGCTGTTCTGGCCTAAGTAAGTGCTCACTGGGGAATTGCAGCCCTGAAGGCTGAGAATGGAAAGTTGCTGTTGGAACTTTCATCAAACAGAGAAGAGAGTTCCCTGTAACAGTAGGGGAAAGTCACACTGATCGCCCACGAGGGAGCCCAGACCTGAAAACCAAAACCTGCAGAAACAAAGGGATTCCCACAACGTTATGAGTCATTGGACAGCCACAGCAGAGTCCCTCAGGGATGCAGCCCCTGAAGTGAAGTCATTATTGCTATTTGTGATGCACCACAGCCCCAAATTCATTGTTCCTTGCAGATTACAAAGCCAATGAATTAAGCAACACAAGCATGGAGGTACTTCTTTTTTCATGGTTCAAGTTACATCTGCCTCTCCAGGAGGCCTTCTGCTTCAAAACTCTGTCTTTCAGTCCAAGTCCTCTGCTTGTGGAATTATTTACCACTATGTGGTTAACTCACCTTTTTTCAGTGTATTGATCAGTCTCAAACAACTGTTACTGTCTGTGCTCATGATGAGTCTAGATAAGTGGAATGGAAGCCTATTCCAGAAATAGTTGTTCCTGAAACTTTTTCAGGTTGCCTTTCTTCACACACTGCTTTTTGATTGTATTTCTCCTTTCCTTAGACCAGAAACCCCCTCAGGTTACTTTTAGCACAAAGGATTCCTAACCAGGATTTGGTGGATTTCCAAAACAATTTCCTGATTCAAAAACTCCTACAGCAGTTTTTTTTAAGAACTTGTTTTTAAAAAGAGAACTGACGTGATTCCAGCTTAGTCTTCCTAAATCGGCTTTCAAATGTTTTAATATTTTAACTGTTTAAAAGCATGAGGATAATACTTGTAATACTTCATAAATCCTCAAGAGTCTTAGCTGTCATATGTTGGTTCGTTCGATTTTTCCACTTGCAAGTTATCAGTAGTCATCTCCTAAAACGATACGCACGGGCTTAAAGCTGCAAGCAAATTGTAATGCAAAATAACCAGTCTTTCTTTAGTCTTAAAGCCTTGTCATCTTCCTCATTTTAACTACAGTTAATGCAAGAACAATCTCACTTTTTATCAAGGACTGAGGTGTGTGGTCTCAACCTGCCCAAACATGTCCTAAAGAAACGTTTTTCTCAAAGTTCCAGCCAGAACATGAAAAGTCGATACTTCTTGTAAGGGTTAGAGGGGATTTTAAGGAAATTGTCTAATGGTGGTTTAAAACAAAAGGAAACGCCTTCCATAACAAAACTGTGGGTCTGGTTACCACGGGATATTCAGACAAACCTGAACTCCAGCAAGGGAGAGCTGGAAAACATTTCCTAACAGTGAGGCAGTGGGGTCTCTGCCTTTAAAAGATCCTGTAAACAGGTTAAACAACTGAAAAAGCAGAGTTACTTAGACTTGCCTTGTGTTAGGGATCCTACAAACCCTTTTGGGGGGGGAAAGGGGTGAGAAAGAGAGAGAAAGAGATGTGTATATATCTAATCTATTAGTGTATATGTTTTATAGATAAGTTATTAAATATCATGAAATGTAAACATAAACAATGCCAGTAAATCAGCAGTGGAGTGTTTCTTACCTCCTAGACTTATAAATTATTTTCACAAGCAGTAATTATCAGGTCTGTTTGGGAGGATACAGGGTGCTGCAGCAGTTTAAGGCAGGATACCCAGGTGTGCAGACAACTGGTGTTTTTAAAAGGAATCTCAAATCCCTTACAGAGTAATGCTTCCTTCCCCACCACCTTGCCTGTCTTCCCCTAGTTCCCAAGCTACGCGACCCTATGTCCTACTGACGTGTTTCCTTTTGTTTTTCCCGGGCTCTGCCGCTCCTGTCCAGGTTTGACGTCTATGGAAGGCACAAAGAAGCTGCGCCCGGAGAAGCCGAACGGCTGGAGGATCCCGTTCAACCCGCGGGCGGGAGGCTGCGGGGGTGCCATGCGCGCCATGTCCATCGGGCTGCGCTTCTACCACCCCGATGAGCGGCACACCCTGCTCCAAGTCAGCATCGAGAGCGGCCGCATGACCCACCACCACCCCACAGGCTACCTGGGGGCCCTGGCCTCAGCCCTCTTCACGGCCTATGCGGTGAACGGCGTGCCCCCCCAGGCCTGGGGCAAGGGGCTGCTGGACACGCTGCCGCGGGCGAAAACTTACGTGCGGAACAGCGGCTTCTTCGTGAAGGAGAACATGGAGCACTGGTGAGCTGCGCTCCCAGCACCGCGCTTTCCTAAAGCCCTGCTTACCCTGAAGTGTCAGTAATTCTGTTATGGTAAACTCTAGAGCAGCACATGCCTGCTGTGGGATCAAATCAGTTCAGAATACCTCTAACCTGGGGGGGAAAAGAGACAAAGGCAGCTTGTGTTTGAGTCACATAGTTGTGACTTTTTTTTGATCCGGTATGAGGTAGGTAGACTTGTCATCTCAAGCAACCATGATCTGATGAAAGAGGTGAAGCAGGGCTGGGGAACAGCATCAGGCTTAGGGCTGAGCTCAGTTTGAAAGTTATAATCAAATGTGGCTGCAGATCCACTGTGGCTCTGTGTGCAGGGGCACAGAGGTAGAGTTACTCTGAATTTGGGAGGATGACTCACCTCTCACTCTGAGCCTTTGAATCCTGTGCAGCACGACAGCAGCAGGTGCTGGGCTGCCTTCTCCCATGTGGCTGGAGGGAGGGAAAATCTAACTCACCGAAACATGTCCTTGTGCCTCTTACTGTAAATCATGTCCCTAGTCTGACCAAGGGGGGACACCTACCATTTTGCCGAGCCATTGCTCCGAGCTCTTGGCGTGGCGCCTGCGCAGAGCTCAGGTACGCGCTCCTGCCCTGGGACAGCTCCATCCCGTCTCCTGTTTTACAGGTACTACTTTGAAGAACAGTGGAGAAGATACCTGGTGGGGAGGGGCATATCAGATGGGGTCTCGTTGCCCACCTTCCCCGCCAAGTACGGCGTGGAAGAGAGGGACAAGTTCTACACATCGCTGAGCTACGACGGCTGGGCGGGCAGCAGTGGGCACGACGCCCCCATGATCGCCTACGACGCGCTGCTGGGCGCGGGCGACTCCTGGACTGAGCTGGCTCTCCGCGCCTTCTTCCACGGGGGCGACAGCGACTCCACTGCCGCCATCGCAGCCTGCTGGTGGGGGGTCATACATGGCTTCAAGGGGGTTCCCCTGCCCCTCTATGCCCACCTGGAGTACAAGGACCGCCTGGAGAAGGTAGCCAAGGGCTTGTACGAGCTCTAGGCAGGGGGCAGCACGGGCGCGCTTACCCACCGCCCCTCCCCGCTTGCTCTGCAGACCCACTGGATTAAAGCTTGTGAGCCTTTTCTCTCTGCATGTGTGTTGGCTTCAGTGGGGAGGCCATGTCGGCTCTCGGTTGGGGCTGGTGGGTGGGGGGAAGCAGTCACAAGGTGGTTTGATGGGAGCACACAGCAGTCCCTTGAGCAGCCAAGCCCCGAGACATCCCTCCTCCGCTGCAGGGCGGCTGCACATCGTCTGGTCCTCAGGGGGAGCAGGAGCACCCACTGCAGCACTGCTGGTCCTGCTGCAGCAGCAGGGCAGGCAGCAAAACTCACTCAGGCTGCCCCAAACCTGCCCATAGGAGCGTGCCAGGGAATCAGGGATGCACACCTGACCACAGGGAGTGTACAGTGGGCTGGCAGAGATGCCTCCTGGCAAAGCTGCAACAGCTCTGGCCCAAGCTTGTCACCTGATACAGGGACACACTGCCACAGCACTGGGCACCTGTGGAGCTAAAACCTCTGCTGCTTAGCACAGAGACCAGAGCAGATGCACCCCAAGGCAACCTACTGCAGGGAGAAGGGGGGATGACAAGAGTTTTGTCATACAATTATTTTAGCAGAGAGTATTTTTTTGTTTTAAATGAATGTGGAAAAAAACCTGCTCAAACCCGACCTGTGTGAGCAGTGTGTTTTGCACAATTCCACAGCACTTCTGCACTGCAGGTAGGGATGCATCATGCTACTTCCCCATTTCAGTCAGTGTGGGAATTCAAGACTCCTGATCAAATCCTTACTCACAGTAAAAGTGGGTAATGAGAATGAACAGGTTGCATTTTGCATCAACTTCTGTAGTGAACTATATTCTTCTGCTTTCATCAATGTTACTAAAGATTACTTGCTTCACATTTGCTATGCATAATTCTATATAAAAGAAGGGTTTTCTTCAAATCCAGGCTATGACACAGCAAAGTACTTACTGTTTTCGGAGCAATTAAAAAAACAGTGTATCCCATTCAACAAAAAGACCTGACAGGCCTCTTTTAAATGTTATATTCTGTTATGGTATGAATTAAGGGAGATAGAAGGGAGAAGTATGAAGAGCCAGAGGGTGCATGGAGTCTGCAAGCTCCAACCTGCAAGAGAGGAGAAGCTCTACTAGGGTGAGAGTTAATGCACCAAGGAATGGTGGCAGTGGAAGAGGGAGAGGTTGCCCAAGAGGGGGCCTCCACACCTTTATGCAGGGAGTGCACATAAAGGCATAACAAAAGCCCAAATCTGACAAAAAGCAGCAGCAATAGGATTCACAATTTCAACACAGTTTACTACAGCTCTCGGGTGTGTTGTATAAAACATGTTTTAGTGCAACATAGTACAAAGTTTTTGTTGTTTTCTTAAAAAAAAAAATCCCAAACATTTTTCCACATCATGCATGGATAGGGTATCTCTCTTTCTTCTCAGGTTCATTACAGAAAGTTACAGCAGAGAGAGTGGTTTGAAAAGCTCCACGTTAAAACTTGTTACAGGAAGAGAGTCTGCCTTATAAAAACAGAGAGAAGTCTGAGACTGGGCAACACACTGCCAGAGCAATGGAGAAATGTCACTGGCAAGGTACATTCAGGGACCAGCGTGGGAGCTGCTTCCCAGGACAGCCTGGGCTCTGTGCAGGAACCGCCAGGCTGGGAAGGGACCCGTTCCATCCAGGGGGACGGGGCCATGGGACAGCCCTGCTGCGGGGCAGACAGGCTGGCGAGGAGGAGCGTGGCTCAGACGCAGAGCAGGGCTCTCCCAGGGAAGAATGGCTCCTGCTGACTTCATTTTCTCTTCTTCCTTGGAGTTGGAATGAGTCGCGGTCCCTGCCCGGGAGCAGTATGTACAGGAGATAGTACATATGAAACAATACCCACTGGCTGCAGCTGCTGCTGTTTGCACCTCGGTTCTTCATTTCCATTCACTTCTCACCCCACTCCTCTCTTTGCAGACACCTCAGCCAGAAAGGGGAGACAAGTGTGCGGGTGTGCGATACATACATACATATATAGGAGTGTGACTTTATGCATATGCTGGGGCCAGCAAGCAGTTACGTCTCGAGGAGGCAGACTTTACAGAGGGACGAGTGAAATTTGGGCTTCCCAGCAGAAAAAGAAACCTATGCTGTTCTGGTAGAGGTGCAGAGGTGGCCAACTTCAAATGCCTTAGCACGGGTTAATCTGCAGCCACGTGGGTCCTCTCCCACACAGGAGAGGCTGCGTGGTGTAGATCTCCTACCTGAAGCTTCACCACCTCTGAAACACCAAGGCATCAGGGTCTGACTAGTGCTACAGAGCATCTGCTGACGTCCCCTCTGTTCACAAAGAGCAGTCCGACCCTCCCAGAGAGGACAACGGCTGTGGGTATATGGCACCTCTCACACGTGAGGCAGGGGGGTCTTGTGGTTGTGCCCATCCACCCCTGGTCGGCTTCAGCCATGCTGCAAAAATACAAATGGCCGGATTTGCCAGGAAGACATCGAGGAAGACAACAAAAGGTCGTTTTTGGCAAACATTTCCTTCCGCCAGACGTAACGCTTAGGCCGTAGGGGGGAGGAGGCGGTTTCCTCCACAGGACAGGGCAGGGGTTCTTGGCATCAGGGGTACAGGAGTTCAGGTGCCCCACGTGGCGAGAGCCCTGGTTTGGTTCATGAGAGCCATATCTTTCACAGAAAGAACAAGCATTTCCTGCCACAGCGGCTCTTACAAGAGCAGGTGACTTTGCCAGGAGGGGGAGCTTACGGAGAAATGGTTTTTCCTCCTGAAGTCCCAGAAACGAAAATCAGCAGATGCACACACACACAGGGGAAGATTTCTCTTGGCCAAAGGGCAGGGAAGCCCCCAGGGTGCTGATGTGCTGCAGGCTCCTTGCCTTGTCCAGGCTTGCACCAGGAAGTAGTGCAAGCCACAGGAAAACTCGTGACCCGTGGTGGTGAACTGCATGTCCCCGCTGCATGGCACGTTTGCTACTGGGCTCCTTGGCTGAACCATCTGGGGACTGTGAACCCAACCCGTGGAGCTTCCCCTTTCCTCCTTCCTAGAGTCATTACTTTGGTCATGTTGAAGCCTTCAGAGACTGGATCAAGCCTCTCATCCCCAAACGACTGGAGCACAGAGGGGATCTGCCTCATCAGAGGTGGCAGCATGGACACCAGGGAGGAACATGGCTCTGGTAAGCCAGACCACATGAGGACCCTCTTTGCTACCAACCAAGTCAGGGCTTTCAGGTGTCCTCCTTCCTTTCCCCCCTTCAGTTCTCTGAGACACACTAAACTGCTTTTGTCCTGATCACAAGCGCGCTGAATGTTCAGTCTCTCCAAGACCTGGGAACTCTCCCAAAAGGTGAACTGCTCCCTCCTGAGAGAACAGTAAGGTGGACACAAGAAGAGGCTGAGGCTACAGCCAGTCTTTGCAATGGACCTCCCAGAAGACATCCCAGTTAACCCCTCTGGGGACAGACCTGGCTTTGTCTGTTTTGGAAGAGCACACCTTGAGAAAAGACCTTCTTCATCATGGCACTGAGTCTGAGAAGGAAAAACAGTCTGTTTTGGAAAACATAAACATTTACTTCCAAAGAGATTGTCCGAGGACCAAATGACCCCTGGGAACTCCACACTGTGTGGAGGGCAGGGGAAGCCTACAGTTCTCTGTGTGACTGAAAAAGAAACAATAAAAAAGTAACAGCCCAAAAGACAGCAACTGATGGGAGTAAAGTGAGTCCAAGAGGAACATCCTCTATGTACAGCAAGTGCCTCTGTTCATCAGGATGAGGGGGTGCATTTCCCGGGTGCTGGAAGAAGTCTTGGACCTTCCCGCTCCTGCTGGCTGGGCACCCCACACAGCTCAGCCTCTGCATCAGAGCACAGACAGGGAAACAAATGAAACAAGAACAACAAAACCCACTCTGTTCCTTGGGGTTCCCAGTGTGTCTCTGCTTTCTTCCCTCTGTGCATCCCCCCAGGTGCCTCTGCCTCTTTAGTCCATGGTTCCCGGGTGGATGCTGAGCACTGGTGGCTCCAGGCAAGTGGGAGAGTAGTTGAGGTGGGGTTCTTTGATCCACAGCAAGGGGACCCCGTTCTTGCCCTCTGAGTTCTTGCTGGAGTTTCGGCTCTTGAATCGCACCAGGAGGATGGTGATGATCAAGATGCCGAAGATGGGGAAGGGGTAGAAGAACACGAAGTAGAAGAGGGCATCGTTGGAGCAGATGACTGACTGCAGGGTGGAGCCTGGAAAGAGACACAGCACGGTCACATTTCACTGTTTGTTTGTAATGCAGGGCACACAAACTTCTTCAGAAATGTTAAAAATCAGACGCTCATTAATCTGTGTCAATGCAGGAGGTGGGGCTCTGAGAAAAATACCAATGTTAGAAAACAGAGCAACAGAAGAAAGTTATCACAGGGCATGTTTCAGCTTTACCCCCAAGAGTCTAATGAGTGATACAGTCCTACCTGGTGGAGATTTTATAATATCTTATAAAGCAGGGAGCCTTGCAAAGCCTTGATTTCCACAGTGGTGCTACACAAAAGCAGCAGCACCCCAGAGTATCTCCCTTAAGGGCCCACAAAACCCTCATGACCTCAATTATCTCTGGGGCCTGTACACCCCCCGAGACTCTTGTGCCACAGCCTGCACCCCTGTGCAGAGCTAATCCAACTTCCAGGGTGTTTCCCAAAGGGAAGGGTTAAACCTCAGTGGGCGACAAAGTCTGCCCCTACTGAGTGAGACACACGAGGTGGTAAGTGCCATGGGCTGGGCAGCCCTAGCACAGAGCTCAGTGCAGTATGGATACTCCAGCCAAAGTAAGAGATGGGCAATGAGCCATCGAGCTGATTTGGAAAAGCACTTGGCACCACAGACTTGCCCCGGTGCAGGTGAGACCCAGGTCCCACTCACTCCTCGGCCTTTTTCTCTTGGCTGAACCGAAGATGCAGGGGATGGCAGGGCCACGACCCCAAGGCAGTCGTCACCTCTCCTCACCTGCGCCCTGTACGTGAACAGCGACCGTGCCCGACTCCTCCTCTGCCAGCCGGTACCACACGCCGTTGGGGTCTGCCAGCCACTCC